ATCTCCCTGTTTTAAAACCAGGAGAAACGCTAACTAAAACGAAATGGCCCTCGTCCCCTACTTTCCAAATCCTCACAGAGAGCTTTACAGAGTCTAACAAACCTTTCATAAATTTTACAAGCAAAGTGAAGCAAAGAGAGTTGTAACGAGTGCCAGGCTGGTCTGGACAGGTGTTCTTCCATGTCATGTCAAATGAGCGAGAGCCCTGAACATCTCCAGAGATGGAAGCTTGGTGACTTTTTATACAGCAAGGTCCCTCTGAGTGGCCAATCATGTACATACACACAAATGCACAATGGAAAAAACACACAAAATAGCTGGAAACAGAAACAAAGAAAGGCTATTATGACCGGGGATTGTAACAATACTCATTCCAAATTTGATGCCTTCAACACATTCCAAAAAAATTGGAGAGGTGCATGTTTACCACTGTGTTACATCACCTTTCCTTTAACATCACTTAATAAAATTATTTCAAGTCTAATCTAAAACTAAAAACCTCATTAACATTTCAAAACGTATTTGAGATAACTGCTGAGTTGAGCTTTGTGAGGTTTTGTATTCATTTTCCAACCAGTGACCTCCTTTATAACATCTCTGCTAACACGGCAGTTGAATGAAGCTGCATTAAACATTGCTATGAGTAACATGTCTGTACTATTTTGGTCTCAATGTAAAACACTGAAATGATGAAAACATGAAATGACTGGAATATTCCATCCTTAAAACAACAGCATGGCACAATAAAATAGGTGAGCTTCCCAGTCAGTGTTGTCAGTGTCCTCAGTCTTCCTTCTAGCAGGGACCTACTGAATTCATATTCACTATGCACTGATTCACTACATACAGAACTGCTCTGCTAAAACAAAAAAAAATGGTCTAATCTGGTTTATGCTGGTTTTGTGCTGCTCTGGTGTTTCTTTAGCTGTTCTCTGCAGTCTGAGTCTATGTGAAACGCTGAAATGGTTCAAGTGTGAAAACACCCACAAATTAAGCACACGTGCTTCTATGTCCATTCCCCACTAGGTGGCGACACTGCAGAGAGCATATGCAGCAGACTGGCTGCAGTGTGTCTGGGGCTGCTGTGTGTTCTCCTACTGACTACCATCACAGTGCTGTGGGTCAAGTTCAACAACCTGACTGTAGAGAGAGACCAGTTAAAGACCAGTTACACCAAACTGACTAAAGAGAGAGACCAGTTACAGACCAGTTACACCAACCTGACTAAAGAGAGAGACCAGTTACAGAAGGAAAGCGATGGCTTCCAGGAAGTGTTTTTGAAACTGGGTAAGTGACTATATGTGGACTTCAAAGACCACAATTTTAGAATCTCTACAAATGGCATAAAAACTCAGTATTTAACACTGTCCATTTTAATTTAGGCCTGAATATGTATGAAGATCTTTGAAAAGGCAAAATGAACTTTTTTATGCACTTCTATATTCACAAACCAGAAAGCAAAGTGCCACAATGGCCCATCAAGGGGGGCGGCAGGGGGGCAAGGGGGCTACGGCCAACCCTTGACCAATTGCTGATCCCGCCCCCACCCCCCAACCCTGAAGTTGTGTCTTTCTTTATGTTTATACTATGAAGAACAACAAGGCTGGAGATACTTCAACCTCAGTCTTTACTACATCTCTACTGAGAAGAAGAGCTGGGATGAGAGCAGAAAGAACTGCACAGGGAGAGGAGCAGACCTGCTGATCATAAACAGCAGAGAGGAACAGGTGAGAGAGAGAGAGAGAGAGAGAGAGTGAACCATTGTTCATTATTCTTTGTTATAACATTCACAGGAGTTCATCAGTAAAGAATTTGGCAGCACTGAAGCTTGGATTGGTCTGACAGACAGTGACACAGAGGGGGTCTGGAAATGGGTGGACAACTCAGCACTGACCACTAAGTGAGCAACCACTTAACTGAACTCTGCTTATCATTCATATTTACCATTCTGTGAAGGTCTAGATGTGAAATGGTGAAGACATTCATTATTGTTCTTTCAGGTTCTGGTTGAAGGGGGAGCCCAATGATTATGGAAGGAATGAGGACTGTGCTGTAACTGGCTCTAAACATGCTAAATCTGAAAATGTATCAACCTGGGCTGATTATCCCTGTGATCACCCTGTAGTTGGAATCTGTGAGAAGAAAATGAACTAAGAGTGAAAAACAGAAACATTTTTTTTTATTTTTAAATAATGGATTAGAATAATTGCTATTCATCATGTTTATTGATCAGCTTCATCTATTCAAACATTATAATGATTAGGAGATGTGTTTGTGCTTGTTGTTTTCTGATTAATGAATAAAAAGACATTAGATAAAATATTATGGGCAATTTAGCTCAGAAACTCAGGTAATAGGGGTCCAGATAGTCTAACATGAGCCGGTACAGCACAGTTTGGTTATAAATCCATGATCACACATTTTGTTGTCTTTTTCACTACTGAGTCAACCACACCAGAATACCTGTACTGAATTTTGTTGCTCTTTTTGCCAGTTTAGCAAGTGTGATTAGACTGACAGCCTGGGTGGAGATCGAAATAGTGCAGACCATTGATTGGTTGTTGTCATAACTAGTTTAGACATAAACTAGTCTTTTAAAAAATTAAACAGTGTAGCTTTTTGGTCACGTTACTTGCTGCCAACTGCCTATCATGTCTGCTTTTAAAGAGTAGTGATGATCCTCCATGATCTATGGGAAAGTGACTAGCATAGCCTTAGCAGCTTTAACCAATGAGTCTGTGTCAGTGATGCATAACTCTGGTCCTGGAAGGCTGATGTCCAGCACAGTTTGGAGGTTTCCCTACTCAAACGCACCCACTAAACCTGGCAATTAACAGATAAGTTCAAACAGTATCGGACACCAGCCCTCCAGGACTGGGGTTCTGCACCCCTGATCTATGTAAAGACACTTAAAGACAATGACGAATCACTTTAATTCAAAGAGTTTCAAGTTTTCTATTTATTTATTTTTTATAAACATCACTTTTTGCTTCTTTAAAATTCATGTGTTCTTTTTATAAGGGCAGTTACAATGATATGATTATAGAGAGAGCAATTACAGATCAGTTACACTGACATGATCATACAGAGGAAAAAGTTACAGATCAGTTACAGTGACATGATTATATAAAGTGACCAAATACAGATCAATTACAATGAAATAATCACAGTGAGACATCAATTATAGACCAGTTACAATGATATGGTCAGATAGAGAGACCAATTACAGACCAGTTATAGTAATATGATTATATAGAGAGACCACTTACTGACCAATTACAATGAAATTATTATAGGGAAAGACCAGTTACAAGTCAGTTACAATGATACAATTACAGATAGAGACCAGTTACAGACTAATTATAATAAAGTAATTATAGACAGAGACCAGTTAGAGATACGATATAACAACATGACCATAGCGAGAGAAAAGTTACGGACCACTTCAATACATGATTCTGATTGATTGTGAAATTCTAAGTGTTACTGAATTCATATTAGTGTTCCATGTAAAACTGTTTTCTTCAATGTAAGAATGAGTCCTTTATATTTATTCAATACCTGCTATTCATAGATTCTCAGTTCCGCATTGATTTTATATGAATATAAAACAATACATGTATTACTAAATAGCGCCCTCTGCTGGTTAGAATTAAAACCCTCTGGCCTCTGGCTTCTGTCACAGATACTTCCTCTGTATATATATATATATATATATATATATATATATATCTATATATATATATATATATATATATATATATATACGGGGTGATTCAAAAAGATTCATCTGATTTCAATGATTTATTTCACTTACAGAGAAATTATTACAGAACAATGCAGTAAATTGTAAGTGGTTTAAGTGAGCATAAAGTTTATAATGTAATTTTACAAGTGCTCAATATGACGTTCTCCAGCTGTACAGACATCAACACCATAGTCAAAATCATCCCATACTGGATTGAGCGTGTCAGGGTGTCACTCACGGCTCTTTTCAATGCCATTTCGGAGATCCTCCAGTGTTGTGGAACCAATGACGAATGCTCTGAGCTGTTGGAGGTTCACTTCCTATGAAAATCACATAGCACAGTTATGACGGATTCACTCTTATTGAAGTGGAGAACCCAAAATGCTTTCTGCTCAGGGGTCTCCATGTCCTCACAGACTGAAGGGAGCCAACTTCCAGTGACAGTCTTAGGTGCCTCATGGATGTAAAAATATGTATATATTATTGTTTATATATGGTCATGGGACTCTAGGTCTCAGAGACTGTACAGGTCTTGTGGTTTCAAGCAAGACTAGGAAAGAGGAAGTAAGCATTTCAAGAGAAGGAAAAACTGAGATTTGAAAACAAAAGAAATAAGGAAATAAAATAGGAAAGGTTAACCTGTAAGGTTTTAATGCTGATCATTAATTAAAAAAACGTGAAAAGAAAGTGCAGTTTGGTGAGCAGTAAAGCTAGTTTCATATTCATGTTTGATTTCTTTCTTTAATAGTTTTCGATTTATGGGTGTAAAAAGTTAATATAACAATAACAATCAACCAGAATACTGGATTCACATAATCACAATCAACACTGCAGCACCCTTCACTATGAAGCATGTGTTCGTCCACCGCGGGCACCTTTGCCCAGTGAAGATGACATAACTGAGTTATAATCAGACAGCTGAGATGTACAAATACAAGAAAACCTATAAACCTAAGGTTCAAGCATGTTGCCATGCATGAAAAGCCTTACCTGTGATGACGTTTGCAGAAAAATGACAACAGTATTTTATTACATTTGTTTTTGGCTTTGGATATGTAGAAAGAGACATATTCTACGAGTCCCTAATTTGACCATGAGAGAATGTGAGGTCTAACTTATATAAACTGTCACAGCATTTTCTTTGCTGAAAGTCAACCGCACACAGTCTGCAATCTGGAGTTCCTGTCCAGAGAGTTCATGTAAAATACCACACTCTCACACACTGAGTCATTCTGAAAGCTGAAGTGTTTGATGTAGATCAGTCACCATTTAAAACGTCATTTCATAAGGAAATGGATCCATCTTTCAGAGCTCATCCACACTTCAAGACCTGAATTACTGCAGAGAGTACAATGGAAATGATTCCAGTTATATATGAGAATTCACTAACTTCTGCAGATTCCTCTGAGGACTCAGACGACAGTCAGGCTGTATATGAAGACGTCAGAGTCGAGCATATGGGGTCTCAAATAACAAGAAAGAATCAGGAACAGAAGAGCTCAGGTGCACATGTTCTCTCCTCCCTCTGCCTCTTCATTTATCTCTTTTTTTTATTCTCTATGAAATGTTTAATGGTTTAGCATGTGTATAATATTCAGGCACTGTTATACTTTAGTGTCCCGAGGAACAATTCATTGTTATTTTTTGGCTCATTAGACAAAAAAGAGATACTTCACTATAAGATACTTCAGGCTTTGTCAGGGTTTGTCATAGCATCACAACTGAGAACTCTTCCTGTATTTAGTTTAGTTGCAGATAAACATGGGTTTTATTATACTGGTAAATCTGAGCACAGATTGTCTACTAATAATCAAGAAGGAGCTCAATGAGAAACACCTGAGCAGCAGGAGGCTTGAGCAAAAGTCTCCTTTGTCTTTCCATCTAATCTAATTGTTGTCTAGGAGAAGCTACAGAGATATTAAGGAGATCTTTGTTTTGATTTTCCTTCTCTATGGGTGGTCCTGTTACAGAATCTGAAAAAACAAAGAACAGATACTACAGACTGGCTGCAGTGTGTTTGGGGCTGCTATGTGTCCTCCTGCTGATTACCATCACAGTGATGTCGCTCAACTTCACTGCAGAGAGAGACCAGTTACTGACCAGCTATACCAACCTGACCATAGAGAGAGACCACTTACAGACCAGTTACAACTACTTGCTGACCAGCTACAAGAACCTGACTGCAGTGAGAGACCACTTAGAAACAAGCTACATCAGTGTGATTACAGAGAGGGACGACCTTCAGAAGAAACTTTCGGATTTGGGTAAGTCATCTTTAAATTACAAATTATTACATTTCAAATATGGGTGATTCATCAATTAGATGTACAAAGAGTTTATTTAGACATTAAGTTTCAAGTTTAAGTTTTTACAAGTCTGGTGATGTCAGTAATTTACAGATGTATAGTACAATCTTTGTCTAGTACAGGCTCTAGCTTTAAAAGCATATGACGCACGGGTTGTGCAATACTGTATCATCCGAAAACAGCTTGTCAAATAAGAGAGACGGGAACAAAATTAAAAGTTGTTAGTGGTGGTTCTGTTCTGGTTTAGCCATAGTTTGTCATGTTATTTGCCACTCTTCCCAATATTTTGGTAAAGTAACACCCAGCAAAACAATGAATATACATGTAAAGTGTATTTCTGAATGATGAATAAGGGGGTTGTTACGAGATTCAGGACCGCCATGTCAATGATCGAAAATGCTGAGGATTCAAAAGTACAGCGAGGCTGATCCATTGTTTAAAAATTTTCTAGCTACAGAACAGAAGAAGAGGTGCTCCACAAAGCCTGGCAGAAAGGAAATTTGTATGTTACATGATAACCCAACAGCACGAATAAAGATAAATGGGTATCTTTGTGATATTATCCTATTAAAACGTGGTACAAGACAAGGGTGCTCAATCTCACCCCTGCTTTTTGCCTTTAATTTAGAACCCCTTGCTCGATGGATAAGACAAACAGATAAGATCAAAGGTGTTCTTATATGTAAAATATAAAAAATTAATATTCTCCTACAATTCCTTTATTTGTTTTCCTTTATTCATTTGTTTCAAAACAGTTTTCAGAATGGAATAGAATAATTTAAAGATTCATATGGCAGGGAAATTAGACCCAGGGTTAGATTTAAAACTTCATGGCTCTTGAAGGAAGAATGTCCCTTCCCCTTTTAACAATTACTTTTACACAGCCCAGATTAGACCCATTAGATTCATTTGTGCAACCTGGATTTCAATGCCATATGGAAAGATACTGAACTGTCAATAATGAGTGATCCTCCGATACATGCAGTACTAGGCAATAAAGACTTGAGAAGATTTGTGCATGCCTGCGAAACCCCTGAATGAAGTTTCAACTAAAAACTTGGAGTACAGTAAAAGAGGAATATGAATTGAATGACAAACTGAGAATATTTAGACGGTGGGCTTTTGATGTAGATTTTAAACCTAATGTGATGGACCATAGATTTTAAACCTGGATAGCTAAAAGAGTGACAACATTTTATTCATTCACAGATAAAAGATTTCCAAATTTTGAGAGAAAAGTATTCTCTGGAAAAAAAGATTTTTATAGATACCTCCATATACATTACTATTTTAACCAAAAAATCAGACAGAATCAACTAAAGGCATTATATCTAAATTATATACGGACTTCATAATGAGAAAATCTCATTCTACACAATATATTAAAAACAAATGGGAAAAATCAGGCAATTTTGACATTTCAAATAAGGAGTGGCCATGCTCAAAACGCCTCAAATGTAGCCAAATTAAGCAATTCTGCAAAGAAGAGTGGGCCAAAATTCCTCCACAGTGATGTAAAAGAGTCATAGCAAGTTATTTAAATGTTTGATTGTAGTTGTAACTGCCAAGGACGGCACAACAAGTTATTTGGTTTGGGGGGCAATTAATTTTTCACACGGGTGATATAGGAATAAATCTTCATCTTCAAGAGATGGACAATCATTTACAAGCTGCATTTTGTGTTTACTTGTGTTGACTTTATCTTATAATAAAATTGATGATCTGAAAATAGAAGCAATCAGGTTAAGGGCAAATACTTTTTCACATCCCTACATACATGGAAACTGGAACAGGGAACTGAGGCTTATCAGGAACAGTCAAAGAAGCCGGTGCTGGAGCAGCCCAGAGAGCAGCTGAACTGGCTCCTCAGTGGGCACAAGTAGAGCAGTGAGAGAAGCTTTTAGGGCAGTGGCAAGGCTACCACCTGCTGGCAGGGCAGCAGTTATACCCTCGATCACTGGTGGAGCAGCAGCAGCACGTTCAGTAGAGGCCGCTGTCAGTGTCCGCTGTCTGAGAGAGCAACAGTGGCGACTGTGGACCATGACTGTGAAGCACTATATGCATTTTTATATATAATAATTGTATTGTAATACTATTTTTGGGAATTCGCAGTACAAAAGTTTAAAGAGAATTATTTAAACATCGGCATTATAAATTCCGTCTTTTAGAAAACGCCACCCAGGAGGGATGGAGGTACTTCAGTTCCAGTCTTTACTACATCTCTACTGAGCAGAAGACCTGGGGCAGCAGCAGACAGGCCTGCAGAGAAAGAGGAGCAGACCTGGTGATCATAAACAGCAGAGAAGAACAGGCAAATAAAATTATGTTAAAAAATATACAGTACAAACATATAAAATCACAGTGTACATACACAACAATATTACACATAGGCCTTTATTAAATGCTATTAGGTATTGGTGTTTGATCTATTAGGACTATTCTATTGAAACCTTTACTATACATAAACTATATAGTTGCAAATGTAATTCATATTTTTTACAATATTGCATTTCTTGTTTCTGCACGTAACAAACATAGTATATATCTAAAAGTATATGGACACCTGACCATTACACCTACATGAGCTTGTTGGACATCCCATTCCAATTACACAATGGAACAGACTCTACTGGCAGTGTTTGTCTATGGAGACTGCATGGCTAGGATTTCATACACATGTTAGCAATAGGTGTGACTGAAACACGTGACACACCAGAGGCAAAAAACAATCACAGTGAAGTAAAAAAAAATGCTGAAAAAAATGCTGGCATTTTTCCTTGTGGTCTTTTTTGCCTACAACAAATTGAAACAGTAATCAATTTTTTTTTTTCTCTTTTGCTACTTTTTTTGACGACCATCCTGGGACCCTCACAATTATCTCACATAATCAAAGACCCCCAATGCTGTTTTGTCACCATTGCTATTTTGGTTCTTTAACTATTAGCATAGTTATACCAGTGTTAACATAAAATTATTTGTCAGTGTTAACTTTTCCTTTTCGGTCACACTCACGAGTGAAAGTAAACTCCAACTAACAGGAGTGGGTTTGTTTGAAATCAAGTTTGAAGGTGAGGCAGTTTGACACTACTGTTCACAGTCTGAACAGAAATCGTGATCATACATCACAGTGGTTTTGCTCAGAAATAGCCCTATAATGCTTAATTGACATTTAAAAATTGACCCAGGACGAATTAAAAATAGCATAGTAGGGACCTCGCGCATACATCAAATGCAGGCTTCTGATCTATTAGGTAAAATGACTCATGTCCTTTAAAAGCAAAATAAAAAAAGAAATGAAAACAAGAAATGCAACCTAGCTCTGTTTCACTTCAGCAGGAATTTGTGGACTCGTTGAGTAGCTGCAAGGACGCTGCAGTTTTTATTGGACTGAGTGACAGAGAAACAGAGGGGGTCTGGAAATGGGTGGACGGCTCAGTACTGACCACTGGGTAAGAGATTGCTGAAATCCAAACACATTCACATCACTGCTAAAATGATGTCTTGTCTAAATGTAAAATCCTCTTAAATCTAGTTGCTATACATTTATATAGCCCAAAGTATGTAGACACCTGGTCATCACACCTATATGAGCTTGTTGGACACCCTATTTCAAGTCCATAGGCATTAATATGGATTGGCCTCCACTTTATGGCTACCACTCTTCTGGGAAGGCTTTCTGCAAGATTTTGGAGCATGTTTGTAGGAATTTGTGCCCTTTCAATCAAAAGAACATTTGTTTCCACTGCTCCAGAGTCCGGTAGAGTGATCTTAGGATTGTGTGCTGCTTCCTGGCCATGAAAACCAATTTTCTGAAGTTCCTTAGTTCTCCCAAAAACAGTTTGGAACTCGGTAGCGAGTTATGCAACAGAGGGCAGGATTTTTACATGCTACGCACATCAGCACTTGCTGTCCCTGCTTGATGCTCGATAGCTGAGCTTCAGGGCTGTTGTTGCTCCTAAATGCTTCCATTTCACAACAACAGCTCTTACAGTTGGCTGGGGCAGATCTAGCAAGCAGAAATTTTACAAACTGACCTGTGGTAAAGGTGCCATCCTAAGACAACCCTTTCTACTGCCAGTGTATCTCTAAGGAGATTGCAAGGCTATGTACTTGATTTTATACACCTGTAAGCAATGAGTGTGTCTGAAACAACTGATCCACATACAAACACACTCACAGTCATCAGATTCATCTGTTCAGGGAAGGGGTCCAAAAGCACAGCAACTGTTCTTCTGCAATTACAGATTTCCACCAGTGGGGTCTCCAAATCCCCAAAACTCACAAAATGTAGCTTTAATATTGCCATTATATCTGTGTTATGATCTGTGTTGTTTCAGGTACTGGGAGAACGGTCAGCCCAACAATGGTATATGGGTTAGCTCACAGGACTGTGCAGTGACTGGGCCTCAACTTGGGAAGAGATGGAATGATAAGCCATGCCAGAATTCCCATTACTGGATTTGTGAGAAAAATGTTCCTGATTTTACAGACACACATTAGCCTTTGCCATCCACATTCAGTCAAGTGAAGACTATTAAAAACTATTTAGTAACATGTAATATTAGTACAATCAGAAATATCAATCAACCAAATAGGTTGATGCAAAAATGTACAAACCTTTTCATCTTATCCACAGATCCACTAAAAGAAAAACTATTTTTGTACATCGACATTGTAATATTTGTTGTAATGTTTTATTGTTTATCTTAATGTTTTTTTTAAATAGTTTTGCCTTGTTTTACCATGTCAGCATCACTGCAGTGCTGAGAATGATCCCAAATAATACCCAAATAATACCTGCTCTGTGGTGGTCCTGTGGGTGTCCAGACCATTGAAGAACAGGGTAAAAGGGGGCTAACAAAGTATGCAGAGAAACAGATGGACTACAGTCTGTAATTGTAGAACTACAAAGTGCACCTATATAGTAAGTGGAGCTGATAAAATGGACAATGAGCGTAGAAACAAAGAGGTGTACTTAATGAAGTGGCTGGCTGGTTAGTGCATACAGTGAGGTCCAAGTATTTGGACAGTATCCTGTCTGTACACACACACATATTGCAGATTTTGCATGCTCCTTAGTAAATCTGGCCCCTTCGTGTGTAACATATGTGGAGTGGGCATCTATGGAAAATTTAGTTTAATAAGCTGGGTGGTTAAAATACCACTAAACCCCAGTGACGCACAAACATTCCACAAACGTAAATGGGCCATAGCTCTGTCCTAAAGGGCTCATCCAACATTTTGTCATGGAACTATGTTGCCATGGAACTGTGAGTACTTTCGTCCTACAGGTTCACTTCCTCTTTCCAACCTGCTTTCTTGCTGCATTTAGCCTGTGGTCTTGTGAAATATATTTTGGTAAGTTACTTTGCTGTAGTGTTGATCAACAGGAGAGGGAAAAACATGGCCATGAAGAATAACAAATCCAGAGAAAACAATTAGCGAATATTTGTATCATTCATCTATTGTTCACCATGACATATATTTCATGACTTTCATGATAAAGTCATCAGATACTTTGGATAGTAGTAAAACTACCATCTAACCAAAAGAAAATAGTTATCTAGTCCATTTGCCTCTGCTTACTCTGAGACTCCCACCGGCTCGTCTAAAGGGCTCTCACAAATCCAATAAAGGCTATTCATTTAAGAATAATAAATTCCACTCAGTTGTGGAATATTCATTCACAAGTCTTTGATTTTTTTTATATTTCCTAATGAGTTCAATGATATTAAAAGACACATTCACTAATTATATTTTGACAGTATTCAAACAGAACTACCTACCATTTCAGTTCAATGATTTCTACTATTATTATTATCATTATTTTATTTGTTTTATTGCTATTAATAATAATATTAGTATTAATATGGATTTTGATTGTTTAAGTTGATGAAATATCATGCCCAAATTTATATACAACTTAATTTAACTTCAACTTAAGCTAAACTAAGCACAAACTAAGCATGATGAAGATACGCTGTGAAGAACCAATACTCAAAAAACACAAAACTGTCTAGGAACAGAAAGAAGAAGCATTGAGAGGAACCAAGATTCAAAAGAATCTCCCTAACAGCATGAAAAACACTGAGAGCAACCTACACACAAATATATGCAAACAGTCGCTGCTTGATTGGCTGCCTTGTGTTGTACTTCATTCAAAAAACAATCAAGGCTGAAACACTCCTAAGACTTCAGAATGGGAAGTACAATTCATGCAAAACAGGCTGTTTTGGCAGCTAACAGTGTTTACATGCCACATCAAACTCTTGGGCCCTTTAAGAAATTATGTCCCATTCTGCAAGTGGGGTACATGGCCAGTCTAACATCGGGGCTAATAAAAACATGCTTCTCAAATTTAGTGGTTGTCAGTTCATGTGTTGAAATGAATGTTCAGTCACCTGCCAGTACTATTAAAATGTGTGCATAGCAATTAATGCTATTCTTTTTCATATACAGTTTCAGTATCAGGTCGCCTTTAAAAAAAGCTGCTTTTTTGTACATTTTCTAAATTGCAACAGTGCGGATTTTGAGTGTGGCATGCATGCAATAATAGCATGAGGGCCACATGACTCTAAGTTGCTGTAAATAAGAGCATCTACTAAGTGGAAAACTGTGTAAGTAATTGTGAAATGTAAATAACAAAACTCACAAAAACACTTATTTTGCCCACTAGAGGGCAGCAAAAACAATATCTGTGAATGGAGCTCAATGGAGATTTTTTCACCCACACACACACACACACACACGCACACACACACACACACACACACACACACACACACACACATTTTCTAAGCCGCTTATCCTTCTGGATCGCTGGGGGGTGCTGGAGCCTCTCCCAGCGCTCATTGAGTGGAAGACAGGAAACATCCTGGACAGGTCACCAGTCCATCGCAGGTCATATTTCAGTTTATTATTATTTTATTAATTTACATTTCTAAGCATTTGGGGCTCTAACGACATCCTACTTAGAGGGGACCCTATTGACAATCTACCTAAGGGGATCCTAGAGACATCCTACTTAGAAGGGACCCTAGCAACAGTCTACCTAGGGGGGACCTTGCGACATCCTCCTTAGAATGGATCCTAGCGACATCCTCCTTAGAGTGGACCCTAGTGACAATCTACCTGGGGGGACCTAAAGACATCCTACTTAGAGGGGACCCTAGCAACAATCCACCTGGGGGGGCTAGCAACATCCTTCTTAGAGTGGACCCTAGCAACAGTCTACCTAGGGGGACCTAGTGACATCCTACATAGAGGGGACCCTAGCGACAATCTACCTAGGGGGGACTTAGTGACATCCTACTTGCGACATACCCACCAACCCCAAAGATATGAGATAAAAATAATTAAAACATGAGATAAAAGATAATAACATTAAATACCTAACGGGTGATGAGTGCTGAAGTACACAGCACGTAAAAATTGCACATTCTTTGCTGCGTCTTTCACTGAAGAGTTCTATATTGCCAACAGTGACATCAGCTGTGTTGCCAGCTTCATGAAATGGGTTTCCATGGCTGAGCAGCTGCACACAAGACTAAGATCAGACCTTCTCTTCCCACATCACTGCCTGACCTTACAAAAGAATGGGCACAAGTTCCCACAGACACACTCGAAAATCTTGTGGAAAACTGTTCCAGAAGAGTGGAGGCTGTTACAGCTGGAAGTGGGGATGTCTGACAAGCAGGTGTAATACAGGTGTGATGGTCATGTGTCCAGATTGTGTATTATAATGATGCTGGTTCTATGAGGATTTTGCACAATTACATTACATCTTGCCGGACTCGCATTGTGTCTCATATTAAGGGGATACCAGCCCAAAAGCTCTGTACACAGACTACAGAGTGGTTAGTTACACCACTGGCCCAGCATAATTTCTAAGAACACATTACATGAGACTTGTTGAGAGTGTGCTAAATACCTCAACCATGTCATCCTCTGCATAACCACAGAGCAGCACAACTGACCCTATTAAGAGAAGAAGTATGGTGCCTCTGCTACAGTGCAGTTTTTGAGTGTGGCATGCAAGCCATTAAAGCACGAGGGCCACATTATCAATATCATAAGGCTAATAATGAGAATGAAAATAGAAAATAACAATAATACTACTAATGTGCCCATGGCAATCCAGTACTAAAATTGATGTACATGCACATTGATGTAAACACATGCTGCAACTATTCCATTTAAAGACATATAACACTGTACTGTGCATATTGTATAAGTTTTGGGTGGTTCAAAACATATACAATACAAAAAACACAGCTAGTGCAGAAGCATCTCATACACTGCAATAACACATCATGTAAATATGTTATTTATGACGATCACATCATTCTATCATCTTAGAAAAACGATGTTTTCTTTATTTGACATTTTGTTCCTTCAGAGGTTGTAATCCCAGAAGGATAAGCGGCTTAGAAAATGTGTGTGTGTGTGTGTGTGTGTGTGTGTGTGTGTGTGTGTGCGCAGTGGTTGTAATTTTAACATGATAAAATTTGGTCAGGAGGGGGAGCCGCGCACTCATTCTCAGAGATACAACCAAGCTGCCCACACAAGTGAAGCCACCACGTTAGAAAAAAACAGAAAAGACCTGCATAAACTCCATGCTGGTTTATGCTGGTCTAGTGATGGTCTGGTGCTGATTTAGCTGGACCAGCATACCACCAAAAGACAGCATCTGCCAGTTTTGCTGGTGGCTCCCTGGAAGCATTACCAAGATGGTCAATGAGTGGACAGGCTTGGACAAGGCCTCTGCTTTCGGCCAGGCCCAGCACCACTAGCTCTAGCTTTACTTCTTCTTGCCCAGCATGGTCTGGTTTCTGTCATACTCATACATAAATCTTGCCTGCTTAACATTTCACAACTCTAAAATGTAAAGTGAACCTCAACTGTGCTTGCAGGCTGTGTAATGCTAGCCATGCTTACTAATCCTGGCCTTACATGTGTTGAAATGATGAATATCTGTCCCATCATTCGCTTTGCTTAGTGACAGACATTCGGCTGGTCTAGTGTGCTTTCTCCTGAGCCCTGAACTGCAACGTTGACTGGCTAATGCATCTGAACCCAACCGAGAGTCAGAAACCAACAGCTTCTAGCTCTTTTAAATATGTGGCTTGTTGCTTTAGTTTCAGTATGATTTCAATCAGGCCACACAGCAGCAAGGACTTCAGAACTTAATCACAACGTAATCAGAAATACTCATCAGAGATGAGTTTTACTGGGTTTTAGTAGTCAAATACAGACAATTCCCATGAACTTGTCTATGCATACACCATTTAGAAACTACCTAAGAGAGAGCAGTTGCAGAATGAGAGAGATAGGCTTCCGAAAGTGCAGCATGGTTTCAGCGAGTTGGCTTCCCCCTCAGCTTCCTGTCCTGATAGCAAAACATAAATTTAACAACACCACATGCAGAAAGTCACACTGACAGCTGCAGGCCTTAGTCGGTTTCCACTTCACTGCAACAGTGTAATTCTTAATAAGAGCAGATGGGGAATGAGTGAAAATGTACACACAAGAGATAAGACACTTTATGTGTCAGAATTCAAAAGAATATACTTTATGTCAATGATGTAGAGACAATATGCTGACCTTTGGTTTGTAATGCTTGCCAGTATGGGCAGCACTGGGTGATGAGCTAAGCTGGTGGTCAGCTATATTTATCCT